AAAATTAAAATGAACACTTCCCACTTGTTTTCCGACACGTGTTGTTCTCTTTATGTGATGGATAATGAGGTTGGGTTTTTGTCCGCTAGATCGCTCGAATTTCTTTACACGTGTCGGTATCATTTGACCCAAGGTGAAATGCAATAAAGAGTCCCTTATCAAAATGCATAATGATAAGAAAGACGAATAAAAAGGACGATTTCATGGGAAGAATCTGAGATGGCATGTCACTTTAGTGATATTTCAATAAATATTAAATAAAATTGACATATTCATCCTTTTTACTTATTTCTTATTAGGATTTTCTTAATTTATATTTTAATAGTATAAATTAATTTTCATTTTAATGTTCTTTTAATTAAATTTAAATTAATTTTTATTATTTTATATATATTATTATAAAAAAAATATTTATTATATTCTTATCACGTGTATAATGGCACATATACAAAATTTCTTTTTATTATTTTTTTGTGATTTTTTATTTGTTATGGGTTTATCCACATCCAAGTTCTGCCTTTCAAATCTTCATCATCTGTCTCTATTTTTCTCATCTCCTTTGCAAAAATTAACTATAAATTTAAAGTTTTTACTAGTTAAGATTCAATTTTACCAAACAATTAAGGTTTAATTTTTTTTTCATTTTTTTTTTTTGAAAATCTTAAAATTATAGCTATGGGGTTTCAATTACCAGGATGGGTTCAAGCTTGGTCCTTGAGTTTGGAGGGATTCACACAATGGAGGAGATCGGCAAAAAGGTTGGGGAGATGTGAGAGGAAGACGAGATTTTGAAAAAAAAAAAAAAAAGAAAGAAGAAGAAAGAAACGAGAATGAGACAGCCGCTCTCCAAGCAGGAGTGCAGATCAAACTTCGAAATCCGTTTCAAGATCAGCAAGTCCTGGATCAGCATCACCTTCAACTTGAAGATGGGAGGATATTCTCTGGTGCCTTCCCTCTAGGTATTCATGTCTAGTACATGATTATATCGTACATTGGTGGCACTTGTCTTTCGCCATTCGGTTTCTAAGTTTAGACTTCTTAGTGACTGCCCAATAATTGCATACAGTGCCATTTCTTTTTCTATCATTCTTAGCTAATGGCTCAAGGTACCATGTGTGTTTGCGTACTAGTTTTATTTTTAATTGGTGTTGCGACTGTTCTTAGAATTTCGTTATAATGGAATTTTGGGGATTGAGAACTGATGTGACTTTGGGTTCTCTCGTGTAGATATGGAGTTAAAACATGAGCTATGAAGATAATAAATAAACAAGAGTAAATCCTGCTTTCCATATGTATGGTAATTTGTTTTTGGAAGACCTATATATGAACAGAGCTGAAGGATGACGGTCGGAATATAGAGAAATATAATGTAATTAACATTCTGGGTGCACAGAAGCGCACCGAAGAAGCACATAAAGTTCTAATTTTATTTCACGTGGACCGAGCTCAATATTGGAATAAGAGTTATCTCGATCACGATGGATACTAAAAGAAATACCGTACAAAAATTTCCCAAGATATGTTATTGGGAAGTAATAAATGTAACCCAAAGGCAGGGGCAAATCAATCGGCTCTTAACCAAAAAACCTCATATGATTCTATGGTAATTTGTCACTAGCAACGCGAGTGCATAATCCCATGCAATTATGTTATTTCCACAATAAGGAAAAATGGGTTCAATGAATATGTTCTTAGCATATCATACTACATAAGCATGATGGGATAACCAACACATGCAACAAACATCAGAGTAGATGAATCAAATCATCTTGCTTATTGGGTACTTTCTACTGAGGCATGTTCACAATGCGGATATTTTTATTTTTTTTTTCTAATTGGGAAACATTTTACCGTGGTATATAAAAGCCTTCACTATAGATTTTGCAAGTAATTATGGTATGCGGCATTCCCCTATGTTCCAAATTTCTTTGGCATACTGAGCAATTGTCCTATCGCTGCTGAACTTGCCACTGCCAGCGGTGCTTAATATAGACATCTTTTGCCACTTCTTCCGATTCCTGCTTGTAAGATTGACACAGAAATGAAGGGTGTGTCATGATACACAGGTCAGAGAATCAAGTACCATGAACAAACAGCATTACCTATGAGGAAACTAGAACAAAAATATAGGAAGGCATTGTATTAAAGGAAATCTCTCAGGATTTTCTTAGATCTTCAAAGAGCATACTTTGTTGTTTCAGTATGAGTAATGATATGGATAGTACTTATATATGTGAGAGAAAAGGTCCATCTATACATACAACAGAAGGTTCCAATCTCATGTGGCTTACTTCTACATCAGCAATTAAATTAGTACCGAACAGATGCCACAGAGAACTCAACTATATGGACTTGCAAGTTGCATCTGCCTACTTAGTTGCAAGATGGGCTTGCATTTGCCTTGTTTAGCTTCCAAGACATGTTTTAAGCTCAGTTATTGACTTAAGCTTCAAAGAAGGTTAAGAGTCAATACTACCAATAGAGTGCTAAGAGTGACAATGTAAGATGAGCAGTTTGTATTATGTCTTCCTTTACTTATCAGAAATAAGATCACACTCCAGTCTCCAGCTTCAAGATTCTAACTTATTTAGCATGATAAAAAAAGCTTGGTAACATTGAATGTTGAGCTCTCTTGTTTTAAATATAATAGTTGTCATTTCCAATTTGTCAAGCAGGCAAAGTACCACGGGAATATAATGCAATAGAACTATAAAATTTAAAATTAGGATCACCAATATCTTACTTGTATGCTTCGTCTACCCTTGCTTGAGCATCCATGTAGGTTGGGAAGTCATGACCAACAAGAAAATAATCACCACGACCATAACCAGAGTTACCCTCCAGAGACTCGAGCAGTGGCTTGTAATCATAACTTCCAAATACTCCACTTCTTATGTATTCCTTGGCCTCTTCAAACCGGGGATCAGGTTTGAACTGTATGAGTTAAGAAAAGGGGAAAATCAGACTAGCAAAAAGAAAGTACTTAATGCAAACCATAGACCTGAACATGAATAGGAATTAGAAGGACAAATAGAAAAATTTATGAAAAATATTTGAGGTCATCTAGTGAAAGCCGCTTAGAAGTGTTTCAACTTGAAAATTGAGCGAGTACTAGCAAAGTCATGAAAATTTTATCAGAACCCTGTCCAAAATAAACTGATTTCCCTAACATTAAATGTACTTGCAGTGATATGTTCATTGAGTTCATATGTATTTGTTTGCATGTACTGGCATAGGCACATGGAAAGGCATATCAAATATTAGGCTACATTTTGTTTATTTTGACTTTGACTTGTAGGTCATGGGAGAGTGAGATGAAGACATTAAAATTCCATACCAATCCATTTTCTCGTTCTTTGCGCAGCCTAGGGACTTCATCTGCCTTTGCACCAAAAAGAAAGAAATTCTCCTCCCCTATTTCTTCTCTAATTTCCACGTTAGCCCCATCTAGTGTTCCTATTATAAGGCAACCATTGAGAGAAAATTTCATGTTGCTTGTGCCACTCGCCTCCATGCCTGCAGTACTAATATGCTGAGACAGCTCACTTCCTGGAATAAGCATCTCAGCCACAGATACGTTGTAGTTTGGGATAAACACCACCTGAATTTTTGCCCAAAGAGTAAATGATATGAGAACCAAAAGAAAGCTTGAAGTAAGAAAAGCTTGAAATAAGAACTATTTGCACCATCTATCCTGATACACTAGAAAAGTAAAATAATGCATAAACTATATAATCAACTGGCTTGGCTACATAAAATCTAGCAATTACTGTTTACCAAATAATGTTAATTCCATAGATTTCAAATATATCTGTGCAAAATAATATTGAATGAGCACAAAGACTTTACATGCCAGAGTTGTATATATATCACTAATGTTGTACAGAAACTCTAATTCTGCTTGCTTTTGTGGATCAGTTATCCAATGGTCAATAACTGAGAAGGGCTCAATAAACTAAAGTACCTTCAAATAACTATTGACCTCAGGATCATTGTTGACAACAGCACCGACATCATTCACCAACTTGACTATTCTTTTAGCATTTGTATACGTAGCAAATGCCTTCCCTCCAAACATAATAGTGCGGCAAGTTGTATTCTTTCTTTCCTCAGGACTCATCTCCTAACATAATTCAGTTTCAATAAATTACCAAAGTAGTTGGTAAACCATGCTACAACAGTGTTGAAAATAAAAAATAAAAAAAATTTTAAACAAAAACTACTATGCTACAAACGGTAACCAAAAAAATTAAGGTTAGACTAAGATACTCTAGTCTATTATGAATGTTCTATGATCATCAAAACTGATACAAAGAGAAACATGAAGAAAAGAAGTCAAACATTTTTACCATCTTGTTTACTGAAAACGACAACATGTGATGACGTAGAAAATGTGAATGATTTTAACATGGATAGATGGATAATGAAAAATTTTTTGTTGATCTTGCTAACACAACTACAAAGAATAACTGATTAGTATGGAATCCATCCCAAGGTAAGCTGTGGTTGATAAAAATCTCAAGAGTGGTTATGATCTTTTACCTTTAACTTTTTGTATCTATAGATTGCACCCAAAATGTTGAGCAACTGTCTCTTATATTCATGGATACGCTTGACTTGTATGTCAAATAAACTGTTCACGTCAATGCTTACACCTGTTACTTGCAGTACATACCGTGCTAAACGCCTTTTGTTGGCCATTTTAGCAGATGCCCACTCAGTTTGGAGCACTTCATTGTCAGCAAACTGTTGAGAAAGCATTAGTTGAAACTTATAATCACAACAACAAGAGGGAATTTCTAGGGCGGGGGTTAAAGTAAGAATCCAGACTAGAAATTTATTTTGATACATACTTGTCGAAGACCTACAAGTAGGTCCAGGTTGATAACCCACTGGTCAGTTTTCAACCATTTGGTGATTATTTTACTGAGCTCAGGATTGCAAAAGCGGAGCCATCGACGAGGAGTAATGCCATTAGTCTTATTTTGGAACTTGGTTGGCCATATAGAAACATAATCTGCAAATAACTCTGACTTCAAGATGTCACTGTGTAACTGGGCAACACCATTTACCTGAAAAAAAAAAAAAAGGATTAGACAATGTTTAAGTAGCTTTGAAGACTATTTGAAATCAATCAACCGCTCAGAAGTGGAAATAGAAGGATTCTTGAAAAAAGAAGAAGAAGAAGAAGAAGCATTACATGTTGCAGCATAACTGAGAGTATGAATGCTCTTAAAATCACTTACCTCCTTTTAAAAAATGTAGACGGTTTATGAATTATGTTTAGTGTGAAAGAGCTCTTAGATTTCTTCTAATAATTTTAGGGGTCAGTGATATAGAAAGAGCTTAGGACTCAGTCAAATGGCAAGCACTTCATCCTTAAGTTTTCATAGATTGATCCCTTACCGTATGTGAAGATACCACACATAAATTTGCCATCCTCACAACTGGCTTTTGGGGATTATTATCCATGATTTGCATGCTTGAAAGCTTACTCTCAAGGTCTGGTTGGCTGGAACGTATCATTGCAATGAACTGCAGGCATACATGATTTTGACATTTAAAATGGAATAGCAAACACAGAAATCTGAGAGAGGGAGTGGGAGAGAGAAGAGGAAATACCCTTTTATCAATTTCTTCTATGATTTCCATGTGGCGGGGAAGAATCTTCCACATTACAGCTTGTGACCACTTCTCAAGTGCTTCAGGGAGGACTGTGTGATTGGTATAAGCAATAGTCCTAGTTCAAATTATTATGCATCATTTTGTATGTTAGGTATTGACTGAAACACTAAAATAAAATTATGCAGCAGAAGCCTTGGAAAAAATATTCAGAAAACAGAACCACAGTCACACACCTTGTTGTCACATCCCAAGCCTCATCCCACCCAAGACCTTCATCATCCATCAGCAGTCGCATCAGCTCTGGAATTGCAAGAGTAGGATGGGTGTCATTTAGTTGTACAGCAACCTTGCTAGGAAATTCAGACCATTTCCATGAGCCCTTTTCACTTTTCCTCTCCTTGAATCTGAGAATAATGTCCTGTAATTGCTCCAATCATTAGAACAAATAAAAAATGCTAGCATGAATGACATGTGAAAACTATGTTTTATATATATACATCTATAACCACAGATCTCAAGAAAAAATAGAAATTGAATCTCAAATAAAAAAAAAAAATCACAGCTGAACAAAACAGATGAAGGAAGCAGTAATTATAGGAACCAACCTGAAGTGATGCACTGCATAAAAAGAATTGTTGTTTCAGACGTAAAAGCTTCCCACTTTCAGTAGCATCTCCAGGATATAGAACAGCACAAATCTGGGGGTTCATGATAGAATCATAGTGAGCTTCAAGCAAAAGTACAGGGAGATCTATACATGAAAAACTGAAGAAGTTTCCTGGCAGTGGAACCAAAATATTGACAAGATTGAAGAATACTATATCTACTACTTAGCAAACTTATTTAGAGATTAAGTGATTAATGTAGTTCATTTTGGATGACATGGGTATCTGGACCATTGGCTTGACTAGCCCCATGGACACCTATAAATCACCTTTGTGCAAATATTAACATTAGCCCAATCCCTCACCAAAAGAAGGGAAGAAAAGAAAAAAAAAAGAAGCAGACACATTTTAGGCAGTCAACTCATCTTTACAAACTTAATATGAAATACAAATTCCTGCTAATCAACCTGTTGAGCTCGAGAATGAAGCTGTGCAGCAGATTCATATTGGCCATCATTAAACTCAAATAGATTAAAATCCTCTGCACAAGCTTTTGCTTCCCAGAGGCGAAGGCTAATGGTGTTCTTGGTTTTGTACCCTGGAATTGGCACATCATAAGCTAATGCTTGTACAATCTCTCCATCAACCCACTTTCGGCTGTATTGAAATAATGAGCAAGCATTTATTGATGCATTGTATATTCTTATGGAAAACAGGGTGGAGATATAAAACCAGATCATATTTAGCACTACTGAAGTCAATAAGCATATTAACTCTAAATTAATACTTACGATCCATTTGGATTAACTTCCACATGACCAAAGAATCTGACAGGGAACACTACATCATGCCTGACAACTTCCCAAGGACTAAACTTCTGAAATATCCCATCAAAACAAAGCATCAATTTGATTCCAGGAAAGAGACAATGTTATAAAACAACTTTGGGTGAGACTGAACCTCAAGCCAATCCTCAGCAATTTCTTCTTGGCCCTCCCTGGTAATACGCTGCTTGAAAAGCCCATATTTATACCTCAAACCATAACCCCATGCAGGCAAATTTAAAGTGGCCATGGAATCCAGAAAGCATGAAGCCAGCCTTCCCAGACCACCATTTCCAAGTGCTGCATCCTTCTCCTGCAAAGTTTACAATTGTCAGTATGATGCATGTAAGATTCATATTAGGATCCATTTGAAATACAATTTTCATATTTTTATAATTCTTTTGATTTTGAAGAAGAGAGCAGTTAGACTTTGCAAAATTGGAGTGATTTTGACACATATCAGTACTGCTTTCCTGAAAAGAGGATCTAATTTAACAGTTTGTAGGAAAAACTTATATTCAGATTAACTTATATCCAGATGTTAGACAACAAAAGTGAGAGGGAAAATAGTGAAAACCTGAGTGGTAGAGTCAGTGAAATAACTGCATAGAAGGCTATAGAAGCAAATCTTAAATGCAAAGGCTGCAAAAGTTTGATCACCTGCTCGACTACCTCTTCGAATTTATGTCCCAACTTATTTAAAGCATCAGCATATGCATCTTGAAAGTTCAGATTGCCCACTGCATTAGTCAAAGCACGTCCTTGAAGGTATTCCATTGACAAGTAGTAAGTTTGCTTAGGATTGACATTGTGAAAGTGAAGGTAGGTCTCATTCCATTGCTGCAGACATGATTAAAAGTTATTAGTTACAAGATTAGCCAAGATGCAGTTCGTCCATACCATAATAATTACTAAATATAGTCAAATTACTGATTAGAGCCAGATGTGCACAATAGGACAAACTCTAACATATATTAGTTACTTTAAAACTTTACTTGAAACAAACTAATTAGATTCGCGTACGCCTGCCCTATCTCATGATTCAAGAACATCTATTTCAAAAAAAATTTAAAATTAAATTATTTATGATAATTTAAAACTAGAATCACTTCTTTCGCACTATCATATACCATAAAATAAAAATAAAAATAAAAATTCAGGTTCAGGCATCCAAACAGAACTTGCATAACGTACTCAGCACACTAGATAATTCGAAAAATCATCAAGAAAATGAAAACAAAACAATTCATATAATTGACAACAAGAATCAATCTCAAAACGTGAAGAATCCCCGAGAGATTGCTGGAGAAGTCTATATACCTTAATGAGACGATCACGAACGCTCTCAGCAGTGGCATAGAAGGCCTGCTCCGACTCGAACTTGAACGGAGAGAAATGAGGACTGAATTGGGCGTGGTAATTGATATTGGACGCAATCTCCGACGGCTCCTCAGCCAGTGGAATCGCAACGGCCGGTACCTTAGCAGAAATTGTATACGCATTCTTGCCATTTGATTCCACAGTCAGCGCCATATTCGGTTACCTTTCACCACAACAAGCTTCGAGTTGATTAAGTAAAGCTAAGCATCCAAAGTATTGAGAGGACGGCTCTGAATCTGGAGAAGAAGGGTGTTGGAGAGGGGAGATATTTTGTGGAGAATATTCTGAAGAAGTTAGATTTTTAAGGAGAAAAGTGACAAAAATGGTGAGTAAGAGGCCTTTGGAGTGGAGTGGAGTGGAGTGGACTGATCCCAAATGAGATGATGTAACGGAGGAGAAGAGACTGCCCTGAGAAACGTGGCCGTCACTCACATGATATGAGTGATGGGAGGGAGGCAACGGCACATTTGGCGTTGGATACTTGGATCTGTCTCGTGGAAATGTTTCTGATATTTTCTTGCGTTTGGGGCGGGGCACACGTGGACGTATTGGACCAATTCACGAGAGCACCGAGGTGGCTGACTGAGCCAATGGATCTTAGTTAATGGGTCAGGATCACGGTTTCGAACTGTGTGTTGATGAGTACACATGCCGACCATGCCCAAAGGTAACCGACCTTTTCCTTTTTCTATTTTTGAATAACCATTTTTTTGTGTAGGGCATTGAGAATCAAGAAATATCATGTTTTGGTATGAGCTTGTTTGGTTGGAGGAAAGTGGAGAGAAGACTAGGATAGTTTACTTCAACCAATTTAATTAAATTGTTATGACTTTACATTCTTAAGTTATTATAATAAGTTATCTAAATTTAAAATTAAGAAACTTTTAAAAATTCAAATATTAATCAAGAAAGTAAAGAGAAAACTAATGTATAACCCATTTTTTAGGTTAGTTTGAGTGGATATATCATATGAGTTACTTTAGGACATGTATGGCTTAATGAATTCATGGAGGACAGAAAATTACAGAAAATCAATGGACAATAATTGACATAAAATCACACATATCATGAAAAAAAAGTACAAATAAAGATTTTAATTTTATTTTTTTATTTAAAAATGTTAATTTTGTTAGTTTTTAAATAAATATATTAACTTTTAATTTTTTCAATTTAAGAATATTAATATTTTTTTAGAAGTATGTTTGTCATGTCAATATTACCATTAAATTAATCTTCAAGTAAAAAAAAGTTAAAAGTAACATCCTTAAATACAAAAAATATTGAAAGTTGATACTTTTAAATTAAAAAAAAAAATCAAAATTAATATTCTTATTTAAAAACTAACAAAGTTAGCCTCTTAATTTCCACATTTTCTCCATGTACCATTGCTTTATGCAGAAATAAATCCATGGCTCTCGTTGTCTTCAATCCCGAATAGATGTCTGGCTTTTGTAATGTCTCGATTTGGAAGAGTTGCAGAATGGTGTGATGTTGAAGAAGAGGAGATCAGGGTTGCTTCCCGGAAATCTTTTCGGATCCCCCACAAGACCTCAGCACATTTGTTCATAGATGGTCGTGATTGTCTTGATGGTGCAAGGCAATCTTGAGCCAGCTTCAGAACTTTCTGTACTACTACATTCGATGCAGGGCTCCTCCTTAGCCGTGGATCCATTGCAATCACAAATTCTCCTTCTTTTAATCTCTGCATTGCCTGCATGAGTAGATGTTGTCTTACATCCATTAAGACTTAAAAGCACAGAAACTTGACTTTTAGATCAACTTGCTTAGGACACTATGAGTTCCTTCAATTTTTTTTAATGCACAGAGTTTTTGGTATAAATTCCATAATGTAGTCAGAAGAGTAGGTTGGGCTTCTTAGCAAATCAGAGACTTTTATTCTGTTGTTTGAGAGCAAAGCTGGGAGTACTTACCCATCTTGTAGTTACTCTCTCCTTTAGTGGCCTCTTTGATTCTATCGGGTATCTTCCAGTCATCATTTCTACAAGCAATACACCAAAGGAATAGACATCACTTTTCTCAGTGAGTTGATATGTTCTGAGGTATTCAGGATCCACATAACCAGCAGTTCCTTTGACTTGAGTCGATATGTGAGTGGCACCAGGATCCCCTGAAGCAAGTCTTGCAAAACCAAAGTCTGCCACTTTGGCACGAAGTTTCTCTGTGACAAGGACGTTTGATGCTTTTATATCTCTATGGATCATTGGAGTATCTGTCAATTACATGAGCAAACTTGAGCATTTGAAAGCTTCTTATATTCAAACTATAGCATCCTGAAAATCATTTGATTCAGTCATTGCTAAGGTGCAAATGTGTCAAAACTAGGAGCTGATTAAGTTCTCAAAGTTTTGTTAACTCCAGAGTCTATAACAAGCACGTAAGACATTCCTGCAGTCCTAATTTTTTCTTGAACATCAAAAATCCATGTATCGGTGTCAAATTGAGAGTGAATTAGAAAGTACTCGTAGCTATCTCTAAATCATCCATCTTTTGAATTGTTCAGTCAAAACAACAGAGTTTGTTATTCGTGTAAGGTGTACCTGTGTACATGTGAAGATAGGTAACCGCATGAGCTACATCAATTGCAATGTCCAGACGTTCAGCAATTTCAAGTCCATTTCCCCTAACACCTGCATTGAAAAATGATTTCTTCTTAGAGCTTGTTAATAATTATATTAAGATGTAACAATGAGCACACAAATCATTGAAGCCAAGAACCAGCTCAATCTAAAATGAAAACAACTGTTTGTTTTAACTAATTATGGTCCTTTACTTTCCAAAGGATAGATGAACTAGTATTTCCAATTCCAAAATGTAAAAGCATCCTCTTCTTGACTTACCATCTAGATGTTCTCGAAGGTTTCCATTTCCAACATACTCAACCACAATAATCCTCTCATCTCCATGCTCCAGATATCCCAATAACCTTACTAAATTCAGATGCTCTATCTTTGACAACGTAAGTATTTCATTCCTAAATTCAAACCATTGGGATTTTTCGTATGAGTCCTGTGAAAAATTATAAAATCATTAAGCATACATACATACTTGTATATCTGGCTCACTTCCAGAGTGATGCTTGTGTACCTTTTTGGCTCGCTTTATAGCAACAAGAGATCCGTCCTTAAGCTTTCCTTTATAAACTGTTCCAAACCCTCCTTCCCCAATTATGTTTGCAGGAGAGAAATTTTCAGTTGCCTTAGAAATCTCTCCAAAGGAGAAATTGACTGTTGCAATCTGTCCACTAGCATTACCAGAGGAAGAGGCATAGGAGATAGAGGACCTGAGCGTCGCCAAACTCTTAGCCGTGCTTACTGATGAATCTGTTATAGAAACTGCAGAAGACAGAAAAAAAAAAAAAATTTCAAGACCACTCTGCCGGCCGCAGCAATCATTTGTACACAAAGGTAGAGCAAAAGAGAATCTGAAACTTACAGGAAGTATTTCTGATTTGGCTGCTAGTTTTGTTGTCATCATCTGCCGTCTTTTTCTTTTTTCTAAAGAGAGCTACTCCGAAAATTCCAACAATCCCCTTGGCTACAGCCCTGATATATTTGAGGGCAAGTTTAGACTTATGTTGCTTCTCAGTTTTTAGGTTTTCTCCGGGCAGTACATGGTGAGAATTGAAGCTTCCTTTGCCACTGCTAGATTGAAGGTTTTGAGGAATTGGTGTTTCCTTCATCTGCAGAGCTCATGACCTTCTTTCACCCATAAATTTGATCAAGCCTCTTGCCAGATCTTGAGGAAACAGGTCTTTGCTGGTTCCATATCATCTTTAAATTAATTATTGCGAAGAAGACCGAGTCAAGCAGGTTTGTTTTTTATTCAGCGGAGTTTTTTATTCAGCGGAGAATGATGAAAGGAGAAAGTTGAATATGTAAAATTGTGTGTACTGGGTTTTGCTTGCAACCGTTTTTTATCACCTACCGTACTAAGTTTATTATTGTAAGAAAGTACATATATTATAGTAAGGGGTAAGTCTGTAGTCTCATCTAGAGATAATTAGAAGTTTAATTTATATTTAAAATTTAAAAATTTATTTTATTTAATATTAATTTTTAATATGTATTTTAATATGATAAATTTTTAAATTTAAATATTAATATTTAATAAAATCATTTTTAAAATTTTAAATT